GTCAGATTTCAAAATAGCCATACCTCAAGTTGTTAAGAAAAGAGGGAGATTCAGAAAGTTATCAATAATTGCCCAGTATATTAAATAAATACAAATGGACACGTATCAATATAAGTCAGATAATATAGACGAGGTCAATCGTGGAAGAAGGCTGACATTTAATGCCTGATATATAAGTAATAGTAATAATAAATATATAGCTGATATTAAATAACTGATGTATAAGGCTCGATGTTTCTGAAAATAAGAACACCGTTAACGGCGTTCTATTTCAGAAAAAGGGGGAAAAGGATAGGATATACATCAGACAATATGTATGTGAGATTATTACGTTTTTAGGAGAAATGTATCAATTTAAAATACTAGTTATGGTATTTTTTGTTTTGTTTTATTTGTTGCTTTTAAGAGAAATTGATACATTTAAAATAATCTAGCTTTGGTTATTTTTTGTTTTGTTAGTTTGTTCCTTTTTTTGTTTTATTTTTATTTTTGTTCTATTTTTTAATTTAATTTTTAATTTTTAATTTTTAATTTTTAATTTTTAATTTTAATTTTTAATTTATTTATTTATTTTTGTTTATTATTTTCTGCATAGTCTCTTGTCCACACTCCAGTCTAGTTGGTGCCGCCAATAAACACTAAAGAAGTAGAAAAGATGATTTCAAAACCATATTTCCAGCAACTTAAGGGCTTGGTATGAGACTTCTCCACACAGGCTGCTGACGTCAAAAGGGGGACCCGAGAAACACAAGGCCAACACAGCAGATTACGTCTGGTTGGAGGGGACCTCCCATGCCGTTCGCCTAGATGGAAAGGGAGACAACTGGTACCACTGGAGCCAGTGTGCGGTCGGGAAAAACACCTGCGAGGACCCTGGACGACATCAGGACAGAGTTGGCCCTCGTCGCGAGGACCCTGGACGACATCAGAACAGATCTGGCTCTCGTCAAGGCAGTCGACCCAGGAGGCGCCATCAGCGGGCCGGAGGAGGAGGATCAGGACATCTCTCCAGCAGTCGACCCGGAAGCCGCCATCAGCGGGCCGGAGGAGGAGGATCGGGACATCTCTCCAGCATCGACCCGGAGGCCGCCATCAGCGGGCGGGCGGAAGACAATCAGGCCACATCTCTCTAGCAGGCACCCCAGAAGCCGCCGTCAGCGGGCTGGGGGGACGAAGATATGGCAAACCAAGACGGCACAGGGAACTCCATTTCCCGCTGAAACAGGTTGATATAGCCTGTGTGGAACTTTGTCTGAACAATCCATTTTTTTTGAGGAACTTTCAACTTTATTTTTATATCCCATAAAAAGGGATTTGTATTTTTTATTCTACAGAACTATGTGTTACCAAAAGAGGGAAAAATTTGATAATGTCTCTTCTAATTTCTGTGGCTACTTTTATTGCCATTTTGGTGACATGTGGTTGTTGTTGTGTGCCTTGTATCCGCTCATTGTGTGTTAGACTCATCAGTTCCACAATTGAGGGAAAAGCTGCCCCTTCCCCTCCGTACCAAATGCCCTTGTTGGCGTATGCGTCGGAGGGGGAAGAATATGATGACTCAGCCGACAAGGACGAACTTTTTTAGACATATTTTATTCTCCCTATACTGTCATAAGAAGTTATTGTTGGGGATTGATTCCTAACAGTTTAAAGTGCTCTACATCCCGGCTTCTGATGGATTTATATGAATATTGGGACACAGTATAAATGATGTCAGTAGGAATGTTTCAAATGCTATATGTTGATCTCGTGAGGTGAGATCAAAAGGGGGATTGAAGTAAAAAGATATGATTCTACACTGTATTGAAGTAAACATATATTGTTTGAACGGGTTTTGATAATCACTTAGAAAAAGAATGTTATTCTCACTTTTAAATTCACTGACTTAGAGATTCTGTGTTTCACACACCAACATTGATCCTTATCACCACTAAGAGCCAGATGCGGTCATTAAGTCGTTAAAGACACATCGTTAAATAGGTGAGGAAAGGTTTAAATGTCTGTGGGAGAATGGTTTAGGTGAAAATATCCCCTGGGAAGGAATGTAGAGTAAGATAAGGTAAAGATAAACATTGACTTTTGACCTAGTGTGGTTTGGGGTCTCACTCTGTTCGAAACTCTGATTGACCTCGGCCAGAAGCGAATCCAGCCAATCAGGGCACTTGGGGGAGGTGGTCAGTTTAAACAGCTCCTCCCCAGGGGCTCTCTGATTCGCTTGGGAGTAAAGTGGGAAGGAAGAATCGACAAATCTCCGCCCCAAAGACAGATAGAAATACTGATGTTTGTGTGTGTAAAAATGCTTTTGGGTTTGGTGAGTTTGTTGGTCCTGATAACTGTATCCGCATCGCATCACAAACTTGAAGTCCAATTTCTTCTCGTTTGATGAGTTTGTCTGGTCCTGACGCATTTATCCGCATCGCATCACAAACCTGAAAAGTCCGGAGTACTCGAGTACTCTGTATAACTTGTATATGTGTTTGGTTTCCTACTAGAAGTAAACTCAGATAATTTGTTATAACTTTGATTCCGGTGTTTTCAATTCCTTTCTTAATTTAATAGAGATCCAGCCTCATCCAACGAACGGCGCGTAGCAGAGGTATTCTACTCCAACAGTACACAACACAAACTAAGGCATGGCGAATACAGTAGCTGCTTTATATCTGTCTGTATCTCACAGCAGCAATAAAGCAGAGGCAATATGACGTTTTTGTGAGTGTAGACGGAGCAGCAACATGTTAGCTTAGCTTGGATCGGATCTCCATTCAGAAAACACGAATTTTAAAAGTGTTTCGTTTGCCGTCTTGTGTGCACACTTGTCAAAGCATTAAATCATGTTTTTAACAAACCAGTATCCGTATGTTGTCATTTCGGCATCATATTGAAATGTGTACTATTACAATTGAACGTAGGCACTTGCAAAATAAGGCTATATATTTTTTAAGGATTTTAATTGGGTGAACTAAATTCAATACTTAATTTCTTTTTTTACTATCTTCATAAACATCTTTAAAGAGACCTGTTACGAACCCACTAGGGATGAGTAAGTTAACACACACCAGATGGTTTTGGTAAGTAATTATAATAGGATTTAATGAGCAACAACAAAGGTGCACAACAAAATGAGGTCAAAATAAGCCTAAGCCAAACAAAGAAGCCAAAAGGGCGCAAGTCTACTGCTAATAACAGAAGGAGGACTCTTGAAAATGAGCCTAATTAACACACCTGATATCTCTTCCAATTAACTTTATTGGAAGGAGGCTGCAGGAAAACGCAGCTAACTAGATGAACTAAACACACGCTACTCTAAGCACACATATAAACACACTAAACACACAACACTAAACACGGATCACAATAGTCAAACACAGTCTATTGCTCAAGACTGAAGTGTCCACGACACAGGGGCAAAATGTGTGAGGCGTCTGATCGCAGCAGAGCCTCCCGAGTGATAATTGTCCCCAGGCTTTGTAGTAATCTCCGGAAGGTGTGCTCTGGGATTGCACGGGGATTGGAGAGCGTCAGGCCCGGCGTGCTCCAATCAGCATCTTCGGAGGAGGACCAGGAGATGACAGCCAACGACATTGGGGCAACCACACAGCTCATTTACATTTTACACACAGCTGCAAACAATCTCAGACAGGTTAACGGGCAGACAGAAACAGCAGCCGTAACAAGACCCTATTGTGCCTTTTTGGGGGTTTCCCTTTACTGTAGTGTGTTATAGGTTTTTTCTAGAGGGAGTTTATCTGAACCTGAAAATGAGCAAATAGGTTCACTTCCAGTAAAGTACTTCTTCCACCTCTGCTTTTCCTTAAATAAAAATCCTTCAACACTATTCATTTAACCCAGGCTTTCAGATTTAAATAATAGTCAGACATAGATTTATTTTCCTGACAGAAGTTACTATCCCATATGTTGTATTTTATGATCTTCTACAGGCTTCAGCTCCTCTGTAAAAAAAAAAAGACAATCAGCCGGTTTGCTTCCACTCGATTTGAAGGCAGCCATGCAAACTAGGCCACCAAGCAGGGGATAATTGGGCATGTAATTATGAAAAGTCAAAAATGCTAATGAAGGTGTGGATAAGGGCGGACGGTCAACTCCACGTCTGGACACTTGACCTAATTTCTTCCGTCCTGAAAAGGCGCGTTTTCTTGCAGAGTCTTAGCCCGGATTAACACAGGGGGAAATCATTTGGAATAACCAGTTCAGCGCAGGGATTAAAGCATGACTCCATAAAGGGAAAATACATAATCCACAGGTTTTTTCATCAGACACCACGTCTTCATTTTCAGACATTGTTTGTGTGGTTAACACCTCTCTCCTGTCGGGTGTCTGCTCCACCTTTTGTCTCGCGGCGTGACCTCTGACCTCTACTTGTTGGTCGTCTGCGACGCTCATTCTGCTGCTATTGTAATTGACTCTGAAGAACACACCAGATAAATGTAACCCGCTTTCCCAGCCAATAGTGAGCCACGGTGCATTGTGCAGATATCGTTTGAAACACATTTTAATTTGAGATATATTCTGTTTTAAAATGTACAAAAACTGAATCTTGAGATCTTATTTTTGTCGATCAATATTCCTGTTAGTTTTATACAGTTACTTTATCCATTATCTTATTTAAACTTATCTTAACTTATCAGCTCTGTTGTGATTGGCTAAGGGGCATCTCTAAACTGTTGACCAATCACGTACAATGTGTTAGAGCGCTAGCCAATTTGTCTTCAAGCTACATATTTATTTTATTTTCCCTATTTTCACTTTTTTATAAAAATGAAATATTATTCTGTCAATATCCAGTGCTTTTGGGACATTTTGTTTTCTCGAAGGCAGTTTACAACCAATAAAATACATTTAGATTATCCCTTTCTAGACATATAAAAGGAGTATTTGACCAATGTGTTTGTGCCTTTACTAACAGTAATCTTTGTTGATTAAAATGTGTTGCTGCAGTACAATTATAGTCATGAACACGGTAAAAAAAATCCAACAGTCTGTTTTTTTTGGTGTTCTTTCACGTATTTAATGCCCTATCTAATAATCCAGCAGTGTTTCATGTCCAGCTAAAAAAACAAACATGTCAGTATCCCATGCATCACATTTAGTCTGTTACAAAATGTCAGAATATAAAAACATTAATGTCCTCCAACTAAGCAATTATTATTAAAACCATAACATTTGAAAAGCGCTACAAATGGTAAAATATAAAAATCTAAAAGTATAAATAGAAATTTGGTCCATCGAGTTGATTACTATAATATTATTTACATTAGATTATTATTATTTTGTATTATTCCAGGCCCTTATTTCATCCAATAGCACACTGCTGCTACCGTTGCGATGGTATTTACAGAGGAGGAGTTCAGTGCAGGAGCTCTGTAAAAGACAAGCTAACAAAATATCTCATTTAATGTAAAAAGATGCCCTTTTTTATCCCATTTGGCTCAGTGCCAATAAATACAAAACGTTTAGGAAGAGTGTGTTAGTGTGAGAGCGTTATAATAAATCGCACAGTTAGTCTACAGCTTGTAACAAAGTTAGAAAGTACAGGATGAAAAATACAAAAAGGCACACGTTACAAAAGTCAGGATCCAGCGAAAAGAGGACACTCTCTCTCGGCCTCAAACTATTTTTTTTATCTTAGTCTGGCATCAGGGGAAGCTCTGTTGGTGTTTGAGGAGGAAGGATAATAAAAAGGCTGTTTCTCGTTTAAAGTTCTCTGTGTGTTTTGGGGCGATTACACGAGGGATTCAAGGCTCTCGGCGGTGCTGGCGGTTCCCACCACGATCGTCCCGTTGTTGTCGGAGGATTTCAGAGTGTCCTCGTCTTCTTGTGTCCCGATGAGACTCAGCATGGCTCTGTACAGGAACTGGTACTGCTCCTGAGAAACCACCACAGGTACACAATTGTTATACTTACTGTTGGGGAAATACTGAATGTACTCTTTCAATATCAGAGTAACACATGATAACAAAGGTATCCCAACTGTAGCTGTGAACATGACAGGATGTATGATTACCTAGAAGAGCATCAGGACTGTTTGAGGCATATGATAGCTATGTGATTAACATGATGATTCAGCCTCTATGGAGACATATGACAAGCATGCTCATTTCTGACGTGGAGCTAATCTGAAGTAAACATTGAATACTGCTTTCTATTCCTCCATCTTGTGACTGTGTAACTCCCTCTCTTGGATATCAGCATGTGAAGGACACTGTTCAGGAACTAGTTGATGCTCTGTATGTGATGACGACTTCCATTCTTGAGAGGATCACAAGTACATGGATCCTGAGATTGAAGCTCAAGCCGGGGACCAGGGATTATTGACATTTTTAAGTCATTCATTTTTGAGATGTTGAGAAAAAGTCAGAATTTTGAGATAAAGTCCGATTTATTTTATTTTTGAGAAAAAGTCTGATTTTTTGGGGATTTTGAGAAAAAATCTGAATTTTGTGATTTTTTTGAAAAAGTCCGATTTTTGGGGGATTTTGAGAAAAAGTCAAAATGTTGAAAAAAAGTCAGATTTTTATTAGAAAAAGTCAGATTCTTTAAAAAAAATCAGATTTTTGAGAAAAAGTCAGGATTTTGAGATTTTGTGGAAAAAGTCAGGATTTTGAGAAAAAGTCAGAATGTTGTACATGTCAGAATGTTGTACATGACAGGATGTACTGCTTTCTATTCCTCCATCTTGTGACTGTGTAACTCCCTCTCTTGGATATCAGCATGTGAAGGACACTGTTCAGGAACTAGTTGATGCTCTGTATGTGATGACTCCTTCCATTCTGGAGAGGATCAGAAATACATGGATCCTGAGATTGAAGCTCAAGCCGGGACGAGTGAGATTTTTCTAACACTTACTAACGATAATACACAATCAGAGTTGGGTGTAACGCGTTACAAAGTAACGCGTTACTTTGTTACCTGTAATAATATTACTTTTGTCGGTAACGGAGTAGTGTAACGCGTTACTTTTATAATTCAGTAATCACACTACAGTTACTAACATTGCCCCGACACGCGTTACTTCGTTACTTTTATAAAATCAGTCATAATCACACTGACAGGCGATAACTTTCGAGGGGTGGAGGTATACCCATTATTTTGAGTTCGTCCGAAGAATAGACAGGAATGTGACGGTGAGGTGCAAACTGTGTCCAGGCCAGAAGCTGTTATCCACTGCTGTAAACACCACGTCAAACCTCAACAAACACCTGCAAAGAACACATGCTAAGGTGAAGCTAATAGCTAAGGACCCCCGAACCCAGAGTGAGGATGTTGTGAGTGCGCCGCCGCAAGAATTTGGAGGACCGGTAACCAAAGCAGAGATGGACAGGCTTGTAGCATCCTTCATAGTAGAGGTAATGTTGCCCATTTGCACAGTGGAATCACCATCGCATCGTTCAGAGATATACTGCGCAAAATACAGATAGCAGGAGACAGAGGACAGCCATATTCAGAGCTATCTGGATCAGTCTTATGCGACAATGGAAACTGAACTAAAGAGAACATTTGAAACTTTAGCAGTCTGCGTGATCTGCCTGTAGGGAGGGGCGGGCCGGCCCTGAGAGTAAAGTAACGAGTAAAGTAACGAGTAAAGTAACGAGTTACTTTATGTAGAGAGTAACGAAGTAGTGTAATATATTACTTTTTTTTAAAGTAATATGTAATATGTAATATATTACTTTTTTTTAGTAACGACCCCATCTCTGTACACAATCATGGCTAGAATAAGTACTCAGATCCTTAAGTAGAAAGAGCAAATTATCCAAAAGCTACATTACAAGTCCCATACTCAAAACGTTACTTCAGTACAATTTCACAAGTATTACCAGCAGAACGTACCTAAAGAAATAAAAGTACTACATGTTTTGTGTATTATAAAATGGTTTAAAGTAGAGACACTACATACTGATATACACCTGAACATCAGCAGGAGAGGACTCTTTAAAGTAGAGACACTACATACTGATATACACCTGAACATCAGCAGGAGAGGACTCTTTAAAGTAGAGACACTACATACTGATATACACCTGAACATCAGCAGGAGAGCACTCTTTAAAGTAGAGACACTACATACTGATATACACCTGAACATCAGCAGGAGAGGACTCTTTAAAGTAGAGACACTACATACTGATATACACCTGAACATCAGCAGGAGAGGACTCTTTAAAGTAGAGACACTACATACTGATATACACCTGAACATCAGCAGGAGAGGACTCTTTAAAGTAGAGACACTACATACTGATATACACCTGAACATCAGCAGGAGAGGACTCTTTAAAGTAGAGACACTACATACTGATATACACCTGAACATCAGCAGGAGAGGACTCTTTAAAGTAGAGACACTACATACACCTGAACATCAGCAGGAGAGGACTCTTTAAAGTAGAAAATTAGCAGCATCAAGCCCCTTTAAGCTAGTTACTCTAGCAATGTTTCAAACAGACATCAGTTTATCGTCAGCATATTATGAGACAGACAGTCTAACTTCAGTGTATTGTGAGAAAGACAGTATCCTCACCACGTCGCTGAAGATCCCCGGTCTCATGAGGTTTGTCAGCTTGGCGGCCTGGAAGACGTCGAGCGACCCTTCGACCTCCAGCTGCTGAACCAGAGAGGACAGAGTGCAGAACGTCCCGGCTGTGACTCCTCCCACACTGAGGGGAAAGAAACACAGATATCTTCAGTCAGAACACAACATGACCATGAGTACTGATCCTGACCCTTTGCGCCTGTAGCCATCAGGCAACATCAGGCTGCTTTGTGCATGAAAGGTGCTATACAAATCAAGTTCATATTATATATTATAAATATCAGAGCATTAAAAACCTGTTAAATGATATTGTACTCACTCATCGTGCACCACGGTGGGTCCGTCCTTGGCGGCGTTCTCCTCTCTCACCAGCTTCAGGAGTTCGAAGGTGTTGCTGATGGGACTGTCAGGGTTCGGCCAGCAGGAGGCGCTGTAATGTTTCACCTCCAGAGCGAAGTCATCCTGTCCAGCAGAGATGGCAAAAATACACACATCCTTTACTCAAGTAGAAGTACAGATACTCGTGTTTAAAAATACTCTGGTAAAAGTAGAAGTACCGACTAAACTTCTTTACTCAAGTAAAAGTACAGAAGTATGGCCCCGTCAACGCTAAGTCAATAGGAGAAGACTACAGTTGATAAAATGAGAAGCCAGCTGTTAGCCGGTCTCTTTGCCAGCTGATCCCAAGCCAACGGAGGTCCATCCAGCGGGGAGAGCCGCCATTTCGCAATTTCATTGTATCATTGTATCATTGTTTAATTAAACGCTGTTAACTTGTAAATAAGCTTCCTGGACTCTTTTTAGCTAAACCTGGGCTCAGAACTAACAAACCCTCCAGGAACTAACCTGAGTTGCTTCCAGGACGAACTCCCGCACCACCAGCATGTCTTCGTTGGTCAGACAGATGTTGTTCTCACTCCTCTGGGAGACCGTGAACATCTGGTAGCTGATCGGGGCTCCTTTACGGGGCCAGACGGCACTCTGCTCCACCTCCGCCTCCGTCTAACAACAACAACAGCAGACAGTCAGATTCAACTTTAATCCAACAACAAACACACGACAGGTTAGAAAGAAACGTTCAAGTCTTTGTATAGTATGTTGAAATAATCAGTAAAGCTAGAATAGCATGTCTGAAGGAAAATCAGTATATCAAAAACATTTATGGTATATTTTGTGAAAATAGGTCATAGTATAGTATCTCAAAAAAAGTCATAGAATAGTATATCATATTGAATTGTATTTATTTTGAGTATTTATAAACGTGTTATTAAAACTAAACGCATTTTTTATTTTGCAGCTGATCCGAAGCTCAGGGAGGACGCGACCCTTAATCTTAGTCCGCCCTTAAATACTAAACTATGTTTATTCAACCTAAACTTATGTTTTTTACTAAATCTGCCACTATTTTTTAAATGTATTTTGATACGATACGATAATACTTTAATGGTCAGATCAAGTCTGAAATGCTCCTTGCATCACAGCAGCTCCATGTGTAACATCAACATGAAAAACATCAACAAACATGTAACACAGCAGCAGGATCAGTGAGAGATGCTCAACGGGCCTTCAGCGTGCATCTGATCTGTAGCTCTGTGTTCACTGAGAGGGTCGACTGGAGCACAAAGGATGCTTCAGTCTGACTTTATTGAATCTCCATCAGATGGTAGAAGTTCATATTCTCTGTCAGAGCATGCTTTGGGTCCCAGAGGATGTTGTTGGACAGCCTTATTAAGTTGTTCTGGTCTGCTGAGTCAGAAAGTCTCCGACAGGGTGACCAACAATCTTTGAGCAGATTTTTAACAGGTGGAGCAGTTTTGATTTTAAAGCTGTTGACAAACACTTGTACCAGGTAGTATTGCAGTATTGTAGTAATACAATTGTATATTTGGTAAAAGTTAGAGGCATATTTGTTTAATTTGAACAAAACCAATCTAGCGTTTCCCCCTTGTCCCAGTCTTAATGCCAAGCTGTGCTAAGCTAAGCTACGCTAGGCCCTCCCTGACTGTCCTAACTGAATGTCTTGCTTTAAAACGATAATTCAATAGAATACATTGGCATGAATAAAGTGCATAAGTGAAACAATAATAGGTGCCCGTCCCAAAACATACTGCTTAACTCTTCCTGTTTAGATTTAAAGACTTTGAATACAGCTGGAAAATCCTTCTTCCTCACCTGGCCCGCCCCCGGCAGGGACACGATGACCGGGGCGTTGTGATCCCAAATCATCCTCCAGAAGTCCTTTATGGTGTCAGGCAAGGGATTCTGGGTAATGATGAACTCGCTGCTCTGCCTGTAACCCTGCAGGAAGAGAGTCACGCTTTATTTGTGTCACTTTTATGGAGTTTTATGGAGATGAATACATTTCATTTCTGTCTACTGTTCACTGTCAAATGTCTTCAGTAGAGGAAATAAACTAAGGACATATAACCAGGTACTGTACCTAATTAAAAGGTTGGAGAGCTCGTACTTTACTTAAAGTGGACCTATCATGCTATATTTGAATAATATAGTGTAGGGCCATACCTATTTAAGGCATATTTATATATATTTTTTTCAAAATACCAAACAGATCATGCATTTTAGCCATGCCTCATTTTGCTCAATTTGACAATTTATAGCTCTGTTTGTGCAAGGGCAGATTATGTGAGAACAGCACCACCTACAGGCCTGGCATATGTACTACAGCGTCTCCAGCGCTTTCAAACGGCAATGGCCGTGGCTGTCTCCTCCTGATTGGTGGAGTTGGCCCAATAGCCGTAGCGCCACCGTCCTGACGTCAGGACAGTGTTCAAATCTGGATCAGTTTTTATCAGATCCGTTGCAGCCCCTTTTTTAGAGATTTGGGTATGGAGGATAGAGAGGGTTGTGTTTTCTGACACTTGGTGAGTTCCCTGGAACACCGGGGACACATATTCATGTAGAAAAGACGTACAAAAGTGCATTTTGCATGATAGGTCCCCTTTAAGTATTTCAATTGTTTATACTTCTACTCTACTACTAGTTTGAGGTAAATGTACTTTTTACTCTTCCGCATTTATCTGACAACCTTAGATACTGCAGGTTCATATTCTCAATACAAAAATAATGAAGAAGACACCTGGAAGTATAACAAGTCATTACATTAAGCTCTACTTTTACCAGCTGCAAACTTAAGATGATGAAAACATGCATTTATCACTAATTAGATTATATATATCATTCGGAAATTGACCATTCTGCGTGATGAGTACTTTTATATTTGGTACTTTTAGGTCAATTATGTTGTTTTTGTTGTACTTCTACTTGAATCTGAGTACTTTTCCCACCTCTGCAGGTTTGACAAAGTACTGGTGCCAATATTGCCAACCAATCAAATCAATAAGAAACTTTATATAGCTACTAGTAAAGAATCAGTACAACTTCTTATGAAACACTTTTGTTGTCCGTGTTCGAGACAGGAAGGCTGTTTCAAACTTGAATAAAAAAGTCCTGCACTACAAAAACTCTAAATCTTGCCAAGTAGTCTAATATCTAGTCAGAATATGTCTCTACTCCTGATATAAGACACAATAACTTCAGAAGTAACACGGCAGTGAGATATCGGGTCTTGTTTTTAGACAATGCATCATCTTGTTCACTCAAAAAATCTTATTTTGAGTCGTATCTCAGATGAAACACATCTTACATATTTACTAGACAATCACCATCTAACATCAGAACACAGAACACCTTTGGGCATTTGCAGCTCAGTTCTCCTGCTAATTACAAGATCTGATTTATCTAAATATCCGTTCTTATTTCAAGAAGTCTTACCAAGCTAATGTTCACTTGTTCTATTGGCAGATTTTTGTGCTTATTTCAAGTGAAAACAGCTTGTTTTCATTATTGTTTTTGGAGCAGCATTTGTTCCAGTGTGATTCTGAATCTCTGTGAGCTGTATTTCCGGATTTAAACCTGAACAGAGTGGGTTCATTCTTACTGTGATGTACGAAGCATTAATGTAGTCCGATGTTTCTCCAGCCAACGTGGACAGGCGCACTCGTGACCTCTCAACTGGGAAGGACAAAAGTTTCAGAGTCACATACACGAGTACAAGTGGTTTAAAGGCCAAAGATTCATGAGGGAAGTCAAGACAAGTGGTTTAAAGGTCAGAGATGGGCAGTGGCGTTTTCTCCCGGAGGCCAAGGGAAGCCAGGCTTCCCCTGTTTTTTCGGATTGTAGTTATAATTTAAATAAATAAATAAAAACACTTTGTTTTGTTTCGATAATTCTCCTTTGCTGTGTGTTGCTGCCGGCCCGTCTCTCCCCCACTCTCATTGAGTATTTTACAAAAGAGTGAAACAAACAGCGCCCCTCTAGATGTTATGGTGAAACAGTAGATTGCATTCACTGTTGCGAGAGGAGGCCAGTCGGATCAGGCTTCCCTTGGTGAAACAAATTGAGGGATTGACCAATCAGATGAGGCCCACGTGATGCCCCTGCCAACCTGTGATTGGTCAGGGCCATGCCAAGGGAAGCCAGCTAACTCTGGCTTCCCTTCAGAGGCGGCTGGCGATTTCACCTGAATAGATGAGATTGTTTATATTTTTTAGTTACTTTTGGACTACGGACTGAGCTAATTACAGAGACGAGGACTGTTGCTGCACTTGCCGTGTGTTAGAAAGGGAAGGGAAGAGAAGGTGGACTATCGCATGCAAATGTTTCTGTACATAATGGTTTTTGAATTCATGTGTTTCATACACGCCTACTGATACTTTGATGTGTACATAAAACTTTAAAGGTCTCCTGATTTACTTTGTGAATGAATGCACTGCGCATTGAGCGGCTGGTATTGCATTTGGGGGGGGGTGTGTCTGCATAAATTAATAAGAAAATGCTTAAATTAATAAAACGAGAGTTTCGGCTGGAGAGTGCGTGCGGACCTGTCGGTTAGATAACAGGCGTGTGCAAGTCCTGCATCTGTGTGATACAAATGTGTGTAAAATGATACCGGGCGCTGTAATCACTCATCTGGTTACGTTATTGACCCCCCCCCCCACCCCAACCAACCCAAAAAAATGGGCTTCCCCTAAATTTTTCCCCACGCCACGCTACTGGAGATGGGTTCGGGTTACAGTAAAACAGGAACATGTGTTGTCTGGGGATTCAAAATGGATGAAAGAGGAAAGGAATATAAAAAGGTTCGAAAAGTGTCAAAAGAACTATCATTTCATGGAAAGACTAGGGGTCGAGGAATGTGAGGATTATTGAGTGAAGGATATTTCCAAATATCTGGAACAAATACCAGAAACCTGCAGGTCCGCTGCAACTCTGACTACTTTGAAATCCAGGCTGAAGACTTTTCTTTTTGACGCTGCTTTTAATTGAACTATTCACATCTCACACTGCACTGTAACTTGTATTCATGTTCCCGTGTTCTTCATGTTGTATTAGCCTATATCATATCTTTAAATGCATGTTGGACTCACCAGGAACCACAGAGCAGCTCCTGTTCTTGCAGCGGTTGAAGTCCTGCAGCGCTGCAGAGAAGTCGCACTGCTTCACTGCGGAGTGACACACCAGCTGAAAACACACACAAAAACACATTACTGAGTCTTTATGATGAAATGTTAAAGATCGATCTCCTATCATGCTATTTTAGGCATATATAATGAGTCTCAGATATATAACAATATATAAAAAGCAGTGGCGGCCGGTGGTCTTTTTTTTTGGTGGGGCTCTTGACGTACCGTAAGTGACCTACCCGGGGGGGTCCGGGGGGTTTTCCCCCGGAAACTTTTTTCGAGAAATGACCCCTTAAATGATGACTTCTGGTGATGTTAGAGGGGGGGGGGGGAAAGGAGAAATCGAGGCTTAAAAATATGAGAAGACTGATCAATACCTCCATAATCTTCAGTGTGGAAAATATTATTTATCAACCTGAACATCTACTACTTTACCAGGAATTTGTGTTCTCAGAACTGGTCTGTTTTTTTCTTTCTTAAAACTGTTCATGTTTTATGAACCAACACCTTCACCAAGTAGCTTTACAGTGAACTGCATGTGAGATATAAAATTAATAGCATCTTTTCAGTAGCATTAATTATAAATATTTAAGTGGTTCAATACAAGTCACTACAGCATTTCAAACTGAACTGTGAATAAATGCAATTTAAAAAAAAATAACCACAGCACAAAATGTCATAAATTGTGTTTTTTCTTTGTTTCTCTGAGGATTATTTACAAACAGGCTTATTTACATATAGCAATAACTCAGAAATGAAAAAGCTACATCGTCTAACACGAACAACCACTTAGCATAATGATAATATATGTGTTATGTACAATGTAACTGGCAAGGCTAGAGCAAGAAAGAACATAAAGTTTGCAAAAGGTTTAAATAACTTCAAGTATCTGTCTTCAGATTACGTGGAGGTTTTAGTCCGATGGGAAGCAGATTTTAAGCGACACCGAAGATAAACCAAAAATGTGGTGGAGCTGCAAACCGTGTAGTGTTGCTGGGACAGAACAGGAGCTATAACCGTTGGAAAATACATCACAGACAATGCAACAAACGTGGAGACAGAACAATCACTTCTGTGATAAATGCCCACTTATTAATAAACTTCTAACAACCATGGGAAACCTCCTCTCTACATATAAAGTGATATCCAAGCATGGGAAACAAAAGACAGCATTTACCTGTTTGCATCCAGCTAGCCAAGCCTTTCTTGTGTACCAGCTACTTGTGAAGCCTCGTGTATAAATGTTGTCTTTTTCACGAGATTGCTGCGATATATTCAAATCGGGTTGGTCCGGTGCAAGGTCTTTAAGCAACAATTTATCTGCCAAACTTCTCCTTTCGAAAGGATTGGAGATTAGCTCTTGAACAGAATTAGCCGGGGACCGAGGTCCGGAGACTCCACCTGCACACGAAGCCATCCTCATCAACTACTGCGTCAACCGGATACGAGTCACTGTCCAAACTACTCACAGACTGCACTGGGCGCTGACATTGGCGCCCGGTGACCATCATCTTTGACGACGCTGATTGGCTGAAATTATATTTTCGCGGCATAGTTTACACGTTACAGATAGCAACAGTCAGCTGCTGGTGGCTGCTGCTGCACTGGTTGAAGGCTCCTCTCTTAGCGCCCAGACGAGAGAAGGTGCATGGGCAAGGCCAGGCAGGAAACATGTGACTTATCAGTAACTTTAGACATCGTAACACAATTTTAAACGAGATTTTATTGTAGATTATACATTTTACTGATACCAATTATATAATATTTACCTTGTTCATTAAAAATAAAAATAAAAACATATATATTTTTTTAAACATATTTTTTTTTTTTAATTTTAATTTTAATTATTATTATTATTTTTTTTTTTCAATATGGGAAGAGGTGGGGCGGCGCCCCTAGCGCCCCTATGGACCGGCCGCCACTGATAAAAAGCATGTCTATGATGCGTTTTGCTCAAAATACCAAACAGATCATGCATTTTAGAAATCCCTCATATCCCTGTATTCCAGCCCTGTTAGAGAAACGCTGATTCTGGGTCAGTAGCTACGAGGCCCCGCCCCCTTTTGAGCACGCAGGCACACTGAGCTCTGGCTAAATGCTGCCGTGATGAAACACCATATCATGTTCCAAACCACATGAAGGATTATTTCTGAAACAGTCAGGAGCTCAAACGTTTTTTGTCTATCGGGTTTACCACAAGGTGAGTTCTTTTTTTAATTTCCTGCTTCTTTACACATGCTCTCCAGTACAGGTTAGCTCTGAGTGTTAGCGATGCTAATGTAAACAAAGACCATATTACGTCCAAAACAGTCGGGCATTGTTTCTGATAGCAATGTTTCTGATAGGGCCGTGGGTCCACATTTCAGATATTACGTCATATCGGACGCAAATCTGGATCAGCTCCGTTGTTCCACCGTTTTTAGAGATTTGGGTACGGAGGAAAAGAGAGAGGGTTTTATTTTCTGACGCTGCGTGAGTTCCCTGACACACCGGGGACACATGTTTATGTATAAAAGACATAAAAAAGTGCATTTTGCATGATAGGTCACCTTTAAATTAAATACAGAACAAGATAAAACATCAACAGTGGTCCTAATGAAATTCTCTTGAAGTAAAACTGACAAGAAATTAAAATAGGTAAAAATAAAATAAAATAAAAAATGTAAAATGTTTTTGTATAGTATGCCGACCTTGAACTGTTTGTCCAGACGTGTCCTTCCTGCAGGTCCCGGGGTCAGCAGCTCGTCCACGTACCTGTGCAGGTGAGACGCCAAAACCTCCGTCTCTCCGGAGAGGACGGCCTCCACCAGGGCGTCGTGGATGAAAACATACTGCTCCTTTAGAGAGGAGACACGGTGGTGCTGAGGTTAAATACACTGACACGTCTACGTCCTAGGTTTCAGAGGGGTATGGTAATGGTTTTTTAACATTACATTCTTTTTGTCGCTTACCATCTCTTTGCCTCATACAGCACCTCACAGAGATGCTGTATGACAAACCAATATAAGTTTGGACAATTGCACAATATAAATCTATTTTAGTAGACCTCAACAATGGAATTATGATCAGTAGAAATGGCCATGACATGGGACCTTTAAATATGATAAGTGGAAACCAGGATCATTGTATATTTATTTGGAAATGGTAATCTAAAGTGCATTGTTACAATATAATTGTAACTTAAATAAATTGTGTGTGTGTCTGTGTATGTGTATGTGTATGTGTATGTGTATGTGTATGTGTATGTGTCTGTGTGTGTGTGTGTGTGTGTGTGTGTGTGTGTGTGTGTGTGTGTGTAGACATAACCTCTGACCTCTGTCTGCACCAGGTAGTTCCTCTGTGTGCGGATGTGTTTGAGGAAGCCGGTGATGTTGACGCTGCGTTCGTCTTTTATCTGCTTCAGCAGGCTGTCCAGAACCACGTACGTTCCTGTCCGACCGACACCAGCACTGCACAGAACCAGAGAGAAGAACCAGAGAACAGAACAAGTTGAGTCCAGGATTTACAGACGTGAGGATAACAAATGATGTTTAATTTACGCCCATCGTACCTGCAGTGCACCACCAGCGGCCCCATGTCCTCCGTCCGGGCTCTGGAGGACTTTCTGACGAAGCTGAGCAGCGGCAGAGCGAAGTCCGGGACGCCCATATCGGGCCACTGGGTGTAATGGTACTGAGTCACCGTGCGCTCATTTATCCGGCCCTTCTGGGAGCCCTGCAGGTGGGTAGAAATTAAATTAAATTAAATTCAAATGTATTTATATAGCCCAATATCACAAATCACATTGGTCTCAGAGGGCTTCACAAACCAACAAACACGAATGATAGTGTAAAAACAACAAATCTATCTGAGAATATAGTCAAATGACAAGATAAATGTGAAAATACTAATGAATGGGTACATAACACAATGACACAAATACAGTTAGAATACAATAATTAAGAAAATAAAACTCAGTGTCTTCAGTTGTGGAAAACATTCCTGCAATAACTCTCTATAACAAATCTCCTCTCTGAAGAGAAGTCTCTGCTTCATAGTTTCTCTTGGACTTAAAATCTCACTGTACATTTAACATTTATATATTCAGTATCATATTTAATATTCCATCCTTCACATACTTATCTATATAATAATAATAAAAATAATAATAATAATAACCCTAACCAGCCGTACTTAACCTAGCTTACGGTGGCTAATGTTAGCTTCAGGTAAATACAGCTGCTTAAGGTTCAAGGTTGAAGGTTAGTTTCTTTGTATAGCACATTTTAAGACACAGAGGCAATTCAAAGTGCTTCACATAGGCATTTAACACATAATAATGAAAAACACAGTGCCAAAAGTGCAATAATAAGGCACGGTGCTTACCATCCATTGACTTAATTACTCTTCTTTACCTGTGCTACCTGATGATGAACTGAAATGGGCTGAGACTTTAATTAAGTGGATTTAAAACGTGAATGTTTTCTTCTGACCTTCTTGGCCTGTGTGTTCCTGAGGGTGAAGGTCCTCTGGGTGTAGTAGGCGAGCGCCCGGCTGCTCTTCATCGTCACCAGGAAGCCTCCGTACTCCTCCTGCACCTCCACCGGCCAATACTGATCACACTTCCTCTGAGGAGACACCAACAATACGATCAATAACCCAAATGTAACCAGTGACTGTGTTTTTTTGGGGGAAATGTACATTGTTACAGCAGGAAAGAGCCACAGACAGCTTAATGTTACCTAGAAGCATGCATACAAAAGTATTAAAGTTAAAACAAGTAATAATACAAACGTACGAGGAATTTGACTTGATACATACAAGTAAAACACAGATAGAGAACTAGAAAAATATTTTAAAACAATAAAAAATATAGTCAAATATAGCAGTATTTACATAGAAATGGAATAAAAAGGAATAAAATATGGAATAAAAATCGGCAGTAAAGCATAGAGTCTATGATTCTGATTCTGATGTGAAACCCCCAAAGAGCAGAATATGACCCCTTTAAAGGTCACCTATTGTGCAAAATCCCCTTTTTCATGTCTCTTCTACATCAACATGTGTCCCCTCTTCTTCATGTCTCTTCTACATCAACATGTGTCCCCTCTTCTTCATGTCTCTTCTTCATCAACATGTGTCCCCTCTTCTTCATGTCTCTTCTTCATCAACATGTGTCCCCTCTTCTTCATGTCTCTTCTTCATCAACATGTGTCCCCTCTTCTTCATGTCTCTTCTTCATCAACATGTGTCCCCTCTTCTTCAGGTCTCTTCTACATCAACATGTGTCCCCTCTTCTTCATGTCTCTTCTACATCAACATGTGTCCCCTCTTCTTCATGTCTCTTCTACATCAACATGTGTCCCCTCTTCTTCATGTCTCTTCTTCATCAACATGTGTCCCCTCTTCTTCATGTCTCTTCTACATCAACATGTGTCCCCTCTTCTTCATGTCTCTTCTTCATCAACATGTGTCCCCTCTTCTTCATGTCTCCTCTACATCAACATGTGTCCCCTCTTCTTCATGTCTCTTCTACATCAACATGTGTCCCCTCTTCTTCATGTCTCTTCTACATCAACATGTGTCCCCTCTTCTTCATGTCTCTTCTTCATCAACATGTGTCCCCTCTTCTTCATGTCTCTTCTTCATCAACATGTGTCCCCTCTTCTTCATGTCTCTTCTTCATCAACATGTGTCCCCTCTTCTTCATGTCTCTTCTTCATCAACATGTGTCCCCTCTTCTTCATGTCTCTTCTTCATCAACATGTGTCCCCTCTTCTTCATGTCTCTTCTACATCAACATGTGTCCCCTCTTCTTCATAGTCTCTTCTACATCAACATGTGTCCCCTCTTCTTCATGTCTCTTCTACATCAACATGTGTCCCCTCTTCTTCATGTCTCTTCTACATCAACATGTGTCCCCTCTTCTTCATGTCTCTTCTACATCAACATGTGTCCCCTCTGTGGAAAGAGACTCTGAAAGTTTC